TTTTTATTTTGAGAAAAAAATATGTCATTTAAGAGTTTTTAATGTGTATTAATACATGAAGTATAATTGTATATATATAGAGTAATAAATAATAAATAGACGTTGAAAACAATTGTTAACTAGCTTTTGTAATTTTTATTTATATATATTTTATATATTATTATTATTATTTGGCCGAAACCCGCTAAGATTAGAATTAGATCTCTTTATTGGTAGTCCGTTTAAATCTGGACATTTTAGTATTTGACTGTTTAGCCCAAAGCCCGTTTAAGGCTAACTCGAAACTGCTAGGGTAGCCCGTTTAACATATCTACCTGGTACCAAAGTCCAATACCCATAAAAAAAAAAAAACACAGAATTTCAAAAACATAAATAAATGGTAATTATAAGTAATAATTCATTTTTTTATATTTTGAAAAAAAAATGTCATTTAAGAGTTTTTAATGTGTATTAATACATGAAGTTTAGTTGTATATATATAGAGTAATAAATAATAAATAGCCGTTAAAAACAATTATTAACTAGCCCTTGTAATTTTTATTTATATGTTTTTTTATATATTATTATTATTATTATTATTATTATTATTATTAGCTCGACACCCGCTAAGATCAGAATTAGATCTCTTTATTGTTAGTCCGTTTAAATCTGGACATTTTAGTATTGGACTGTTTAACCCAAAGCCCGTTTAAAGCTAACTCGAAACTGCTAGGACTAGCCCGTTTAACATATCTACTTAGTACCAAAGTCCAATACCCATCCAATCCACCAAATAGGTGGACTCTCCACCCAAATAGGCAGCCTAGACCGACCCGGTTGTTGTCTTTGCTGTCGAGCCTCGTAAGTTATCAGAATAACTACAAACCCCAGCACTTCATCACATAGGTACTGGGCACTGTTCAAACGCATATATGTAGATGTATGATTTGATCTGTTTATGCTTCACGCTGTAGATCTAATGTTCTATGTGCTTTTGCAGGTGGCAGCGCATATCACTTCGGTATAACTATGTCATCAGCCCAGGACCCATTTTACATTGTGAAAGAGGAGATACAAGATTCTGTAAGTGCATTTTTTTTTGAGGTTTTGATTTCTTAATTATCAGTCCGGCACCAGTTTTTCCTTTCTCTGTACATAAGCTTGTTTGAGTTTGAAGCATTTTGATAGACAAGTATGAGTTCTATTTTTGGGACTTTGCGATCAGAATAAAAGGATTTTACTCGAATTATTATGCCCATTTCTCATAATTTACCAGAGCGAGAGGCCTTCTTTCTTAAACTCGAAATTTATATTGGTGTCTTTTTCCTCTGAGTACCTTGTATGTTTTCGGTTCCACTTTATTATGTGAAAATGTTTGCTTGTGGGCTATATTTTTTTATTTTGTGCTACATCCAGTTTAAAATTGTTTTGAAATGCATTTGAGTATTCTGTGGTTCATGACTGAGTACGTCTATACGAGCAAATATCAATCGTGAATACCCTTTCCTCGTCCTCTAGGGGATATGGATTAAACACCCAACTCTTGGATAAGATTTGAATAGACGTAGAATTGTGTCATTTATGAGTTGTTGGAGTCTTGGAGTGTAGTCTAAATAAAAAAAAAAGATTATTGCTTGCTTAGGTTGATAAGTTGCTCTCCACTTTTCATCAATGGGAACCGATGCCTTCAAATAGTGGGGAGCAACTGAAGCTTACTAAGGAGCTAGTTGCCGCATGTGAGAGCATTGAATGGCAGGTATGCGTGAGTTTGCATATAAATCTTTTCCGAGAGGTACTTTCTTGTTCACAGATTGATTACATGCATTTCTTACAAAAAATGGATTACTCATTCATGGGCTCTGAAATATTTGTGTGGAATTCATGAGAGTTGAAACAAATTTAACAAATTTTCAGTCTTAACCTATTGACCTGTCATTAAAGTTTTTAGTACTATCTCTTCCCTGTTATCCTTGATCATTGTGGTTACATATTTTTTATTGGTTGGCGTAAATGTCTCAATTGCTTCAAGAAATTGATAAACAATGTCTATATAGATTTTTATTTATATATCTTTCTATAACGGCTTAGCGCCGGTGTTGAATGCTGGTTTTCTCAATGAAAGGTTGATGAGCTGGACAAGGCAATTGCTGTAGCATCGAGGGATCCTGCGTTGTATGGTATTGACGAGGTGGAGCTTGATAAAAGAAGGAGATGGACTAGCAATGCTCGTGATCAGGTATCAGCTGTCATATTGACATGAATGGTCACTAGAATTTGTAACCCTGTGAAATAAATTTGACACCTTTACTTGTTACCATCTCCATAGAATGGCTAGGTTTTACGTTGGCTCGCCAAGCCTATCACAACCCTCCTCCTTTACCAGGGCTTGGGACCTGCTATGCTGAGACAACATAGGCGGAGTTACATCTTTACCTGTTACCATAGTTATTAAATCTTGACAGGCCTAATCATAGATTAAATAACTGATTATTTTGTTACTTGGTTGATTGCATTTCTTAACATCTATGTTTACTTTTGACCAACAGGTGAAAAATGTGAAGAAATCAGTCGTAACTGGGCGGGAGTTGAATGGAACAAGCACCACTAATTTCAATGGAATGCATCGTGAACTTATGAGGCTTCCAAATTCACATCAACCTAATCAATCAAATCAGTACCGCGTGCCAGATAATGATGATTTCATATCATCGGAATCTGACAGGCAGTTACTTCTAATAAGGTGCGTACTATTTTTTTTTTAAATCTTTGTTTGAGCTTTCTTTCCTTTGTTTTATCTGAACCCGTAAGTTCATATTGAAGATTGGAATGCCATACATAGTTATTTAGTTAATGTCGCGGTAGTTCAAAAGTATGTGTTTCCTCGTTTTATGTGGTAAGTGTCTGATGAATACATGGTGTTTTCATCCACAGTTTAACTTAGTACCTTCCTCAATACCTGCTAATATTAAGATCTTATACATTTTTAACATTTTTGGTTCTAATTTTTATAAATGGTTCAGATTGGAGATCTCTTTTTGCGGTTTTGTGATCAAAAGCTTCCGTGAGTATCATTCATAATTTCTACCATTAGTTGCAAATAACATGCCCTTGTACATCTTCTATCCTGAATTTGGTGGTTAAATACTGTGACCCTATGGCTCCCAACTTTATTCTGTTCCATAGGTTAGAATTGAAATCCGAGCCATTTATAAATTCTTTCTTGCTATGCAAAATCCTTACAAGGGTTCACATATGAAGTCGTACAAGAGATATATTTCGTTTTTACTTTGTATTTGGTAATTCACCATAAATTACTACGTAAAAAGAATTCCATTATTCCATACAGAGTGCGCCTCGCAACTCTCTCTCTCTCTCTGCACTGATTTTCTCATTTGAAGTGATACATTTGTTTGTGTACCTAGTGAGTTATAATTATGGACAAAGATACTTATTTATCAGTGGAGGGTGGATTGTCTATATTTCTGTGGGGCTCTGTATTATATAATGGATATTTTTAGTTAATATAGATGAATATACTCACATGCAAATGGTTTTCTTTTGTTCACTTCATTACTAGATAATAAATATGCCTTTTAACTTTATACACCATAGAGCTACTCGCTGATCATACTCGAGTTTTGTTGGGCTACAATGGGATGAGTCAAAACCATGTTATTCAGTTAAATAGCATGTGGGTATTGTTGAAGAATTGCCACATGAGTCAACTCAGGTAGATTTACACTTTTAGATTCTTTGCTGGCAATGAAGTTTAAATCCTGAGGCCTTTGACGTATTTTTGCATTTTGTAGTGTTCTCAAGTACTTTTAACCATTTACACATGATGTTCTCATCCTCCACCAAAATCACATTTCAAAAATGTTATCAGTTCCAAGCCCTATATATAATCTTATTTTATAACTTTTTCACTATCCCATTTATTTCAGTTAAAATTATTCCATTTCCCGTTACTTCCACTTTTTATTTGTAATGTTGTACTACTTTCAAACTAAAATTGTCCTCAAGTGAATGATGAAGACGAGGCCGCGCTAGCATTTCTTGAGAAATACGACCGTCTTCGCGTCTAAATAATTATTATTTATTATTTAATTATTTGTTTCCTAATTATCTTTTATTTAGTTTCTTTAGTTGTTTGCTTTAATTAGGAAATAAAATCTTTATCTTGCCTAACAAGATAATTAGTAGGAATACATTAGGAAATTAAATCTTTATCTTGCCTAACAAGATAATTAATAGGAATATTATTAGGAATAGGAGACTTGGGATTTTCCCTATATATATTGTACTCCTATCAAGAGTTTCATCAGTTGATCATTAATAAAAATTATATATTCTTCTGGTTTCTTGAACTCATCAAGAACATATAATCCCTTTTGTCTACCACGTGCTGCATCAGTGAAACTCAAGAATAATTGGGGGTTGATTATAGTTCTAGGAAGCTAAGAATAATTGCCAATGTTTATCTCTATCACAGTTATATCCTTGATGTTTTGATAATTCATATTCAGACACTCTTCACCCTACACATAAGTATCTGGAAAATAATTAAAAAAAAGAAAATGGGAATGAATTTGAACTCGGTAAATAAGGAACAGTATTTGCATATTGATCCATACAAGCAGCAATGCTCTCACCTCTATTTCATGTGAATTTATGTTGTCTTTCAATTTTTCTTCGTTTCTTTGTTGTGATTGGAGTTTCTCCATGCAGGCAACAGGATGAAGAACTGGATGAACTCAGTGCCAGTGTGCAAAGAATCGGAGGTGTCGGGCTTACAATACACGATGAACTTCTTGCTCAGGTAAATGTGTCCAAACCCGTTTGATTATTAATTCATTTCACATATGTTTTTTCTCTTTTGCTTTAGTTTGTTGAGTTTTCTTATGTCTATTCAATTTCAGTACATGTGAATAAATCTTAAATAATTCATTTCAGGAAAAGATTGTAGATGAGCTGGGCATGGAGATGGACAGCACGTCAAATCGTCTTGATTTCGTTCAGGTGAAATATTTTAATCTTTTATTTTTTAGTTTGAGTACTTTCTACTATTGCTTCGTTAGCAAAGAACGTGATTTGGGATCAACTATTAAGGATTTGATGGTTTAGCTGCTTTTTGAAGTGAGTTGCTCGGATTCATGGTAGTTCGTAAGTTTTTATGCTATTTCATATTCTCGTTTTGCAGAAAAAGGTTGCTATGGTTATGAAGAAGGCTAGTGCCAAGGGCCAACTTATGATGATCTTGTTCTTACTCGTTTTGTTTATTATTCTATTCGTTCTCGTATTCCTCACATAAGCTAAGGGAGTCATATACCAGCAGATGGATCTTTATACATGAGAAGGGTTTTTAATATCGGAACAGAATGAACTGAATTTTCTCTATCTCTTTTTGTCTTTGTAAGTATTGCTCGTCGACTTGACATAGAAGGAAATTGTTTGACATTGACATACGACGCATACGAATAAAACTATTTGTGTATTTATATTTTAACTTTTATTTTATTTTTATTATTTTCAAAAGATGCAATATGATGTATGAATGAATAATTACAAAGAATCATGTGACATGTCATTTGGCATTGATAACTTGGGCCAAACAGAACTGTAAGAATCTTCTCCATGGATTTCATAGATATAATGTAGCAGTGCGTTACAGAAGTTTGGTCGGAACTCGGAACACAATTTTATCACTAAAAAAGAACCATTCAGTTTTATGATCTCAATGGAACGAAGTTTGGTCAGAGCAAAATTTAATCACTAAAAAAGAATCATCCAATCTTATGATCTCCATGGAGCATTGTGTTACAAAAGTTCAGTATGTTATAAAATATGCCTGTTGAAAAATTATACGGGAATCTTACGAATTGATGTATAATTTTTATTCTTACAAATAAACTAAAAATAGAAAATTACAATCAAGGAAATAAATAGCTCGCTAAAGTTGCCGCTATTTGAGAAATAGCTTTTTTTGGCAGTGTGCCGCTATTTGTATTCATGTGCAATTTAGGCGCTAAAACCCGCTACATCTCCGCTATAGCTACAGTGCCATAAACGTTTTAGCCCGTTATTTAAAACCTTGATTACAATATAACCAGAAATAAAATTACAGCTTGAAAATTAGAAAGATCTTAGTCGAGACGAGTAACTGTTTCTGCAAGAAGAATACGCCCCTTGTAGTAATTTTCACAAATGAACTAAAAATAGAAAATTACAATATAACCGGAAATAAAATTACAGCTTGAAAATTGGAAAGATTTTAGCCAAGGCGAGTAAACTCTTTCCGCAAGACGAATACGCCCCGAGTAGTGCTAACGGTTTAGGTCCCTTCTTTTTCATATCTTTCTCTCTTTTCTTTCTCCCTCTCTTGTATCTATTTTTTTTTTTTCGTATACTTCTCTTCTTTGCAGCATGTGTATTTATGGACGGAAATGAGGTTGCAAAATGGCCATTTGCAGTATGGCCTTCACGCAAGTCAAAAAAGGATGAGGTATGGAAAATGATGAGGTACGGGTTCCCACTCACATTTATTTGCACTCAATTATTTTCGATCCTCCATATGAGTGAAAATTAAATGTATGTAGACTCTTGAGCTCAATCCTCACAAAACTCTATTACATCAGAAAATGTAGTTTGTGGCTTTGAGCCTTTCTTAGTAAAAAATCATCGGATGTACTGGCGGCTAGTGGACATAGTGCGTTGAACTATTCTTCCATAGTATACACCAAGACAATAATATTCACACGATAGAGCTTTTAACTCCACTCTGTTCTATTGTTGTGTCCATTTTGACCATGGACAACACTTGGATTTTTATGTGTTTACATTTGAAGCGGCCATCACTTCACACTTATATAGGTGACCTTTCTATTAAGAATATCCTGTATTACTCCACCTTTAAAAGTTAGGGATTCACTAAAAGTCCAGATGGTTATCCTCACCACAATTAACAGGTAATCTTGCACCTGAAGTGCTTTAAGGAATAACTTTGCACATTCTTATGTTCTAAGTGCTCAACTGAATATTCATAGCTTAGTTTTCCCTTTGAACCAAGTTCATGTGATCTCCATTCAACAAGATAGGGTTACCACTATGAGCATTCTTTTAGTTGTAATATTTTTTTTAAGCACATTCCCTCTAGCAATACTCCTAATTGATCTCTATTCATTCCTTTAGTAAAAGGATCTGCCAAATTTTCCTTAGACTTCACATAGTCAATGGAAATAATACCATTTGCGATCAATTAGCGAACGATATTATGCTTACGACAAATACATTTAGACTTACTGTTATACATGCTGCTTTGCGCCCTTCATATAGCAGCTTGGCTATCACAGTGATTCATCATAGCCGGAAAAGGCTTACTCCAACATGGTATATTAGACAAAAAATTTTGAACCCACTCGGCTTCTTCACCAGCTTTATCTAAAGCGATGAACCCCGACTCCATGGTTGGCCGAGCTATACAAGTTTGTTTTGTGGATTTCCACGAAACTGCACCTCCTCCAATACAGAAAACATATCCGCTCGTGGAGTGAGAATCTCTCGAATCAGATATCCAACTTGCATCACCGTACCCTTCAAGTATATCTGGTATCTCAAGTATTATAGCATGTGTTCAAGGGTTTACTTTAAGTACTTAAGTACCCTTCTCAAAGATTTCCAATGCACATGACTGGGATTGCTCATAAATCTGCCCAACTTACTCACCGGATAGGCCAAGTCTGGACGTGTGCAATTTGTCAGGTACATCAGACTCCCTAATATCCGTGAATATTCTAACTGAGCTACGGTTGACCTTTATTGGCTACCAGATTTATTATAAGATCAAGAAGTGTCCTAGACAACGGACCATCACAAACATTATATTTCCTGAGCATTTTCTTTACGTAGTGAGATTGTGATAAGACAATTCCTTCTTGGGTTCTGATTATCTTTATTCCAGGAATAACATCAGTTAAACCCATATATTTCATATTGAAATTTCTTTTCAACATTTTTTCGTATGCCCCGTGTAGTGCTAACGGTTTAGGCGTATCGTCCCCAAAGATACAACGACGATCGTCTCGAAATCTGTAGCACACCAGATTTACGAGCTCCAACGAACTAGAACGGTGTCGAAAATTGAGTACTTTAAAACATGAATAATTTTATCTGTCTTTTGTTATTTTGATAATAGATAATTTTTTCTCTATTATTCTCTCTAATATTTTTATCTCTCAGCTATTCTCTTAGACTGCATTTTCCCTTCTTTTTCATATCTTTCTCTCTTTTCTTTCTCCCTCTATTGTATCTAATTTTTTTTTTCTTCCGTATACTATTGGAGTCAAAAAGCCAGTCTTAATTGGCTTCAAGAAGGAGACACCAACTCTTAATACTTCCATTCAGTCACTCTCCAAAGAAGGCAAATGAACAGAATAACAAGCCTCAAAAATGAAGAAGGAAGCTGGTGTGAAACTCAACAGAAAATTGAATAATGCATATCCACTTTCTTCACAAAGATGTTCACCTCTGAGGGATCCTATGAAGATGAGTACATCCTGCAGAACCTACCACAAGTAATTACAGAAGAAATGAACAGACATCTCATAGTCCCTATTTCTGAAGAGGAGATCAAAGAGGCCATGTTTAGCATGAATCCACTCAAAGCTCCAGGACAAGATGGTATGACCCTTATCGTTTTTCAAACATTTTGGTCTTCTATTAAAGATGATATGTGTAAAGCCATCTGGAGTTTCTTTGATTCTTGTCAACTTTTGCAAAACTGGAACCATACACTTATAACACTTGTTCCTAAATGCCAACGCCCTGAAACCTTAACAAATTTCAGACCCATAAGCCTCAGTAGTGTGATCTATAAAATCGTTTCCAAAATTCTCTCATCAAGACTTAAACCATACCTTGATCATTCTATCAGTGTAAATAAATCAGCTTTTGTTAAAGACAGACAATTATTAGATAATGTCATAATAGCCAACAAAGTTATTCACTTTTTAAACAGACATATAGAACTGGAAATCATAAATTCATGGCTATAAAACTAGATATGGAGAAGGCCGTTGACATGGTTGAATGGAACTGTATCAAACAGATTCTACTAAAATTTGGGTTCCACCCTACTTTTTGTCAAATGGGTTCTTGCCTGCATAACTAATACTACCTTTTCTTTCAACACAAATGGACAGCTTAGAGGATTTATTAGGCTACAAGAGGAATAAGGTAGGGGGATCCCCTTTCCCCATGCCTCTTCATACTTGTTTCAGAAGTTCTTACTAGGCTCCTTAAGGCTGAGGAGGATAGAGGCAAGTTTACAGGATTGAAGATATCTAAAGAAACGCCTGTAATTTCTCATCTTCTCTTTGCAGATGATGTCCTAATTTTCAACAAGGCGGAGGTTATCTAAGCTTATACTCTTCTTGATGTGCTTTATAGATACAAATTATTTTTCTAGTCAAAAGGTTAACCTATCTAAATCATCTGTTTTCTTTAGTAAAAACACACATGTAGGTGTTAGGACTGAATTTTTCAGATTCTTGATGGAATCAAAGTTCAAACATCTACTAGATATCTTGGTTTATCTTTGGGCATAGATAAGTCAACGAGACAATTTTTTAACTTTGTAATTGGAGTTGTTAGATCCAGGTTGGTGAGCAAGAAAAACAGATTTCTCTCTACTACTGGCAAGGAGGTCTTGTTAAAATTTGTTATCAATGTTATGCCTATTTTTACCATGTCATGTTTTTATCTTCCCAAAGGTGTATGACAGATGTTGCAAAGCTTAAGTGCCTCCTTCTGGTGGAGTAGAGGTGATGATATGCAACCAGGACTGCATTAGAAGAAATGGAGTTCACACACCGCAGAAAGATGGAGGGATGGGTTTTCATGACATCCTCCTATTCAGTGAGGCACTCATACTTAAATAAATCTGGAGAGTAGCCACAAAACCCAACCTTCCAATGATCAAGGTATCCAAGGACAAATATTTCCCATCTGGGTCCATTTTGAAGGCTGGTACACCACAAAGTGCATCTTGGATGTGGAGGAACTAGATGAAGGTACTGGAAAAGCACAAGTCTGCATTCAGGGTGAATATTCGAAATAGGAGAAACACAGGTATATGAAATGATCCCTGAATTCCAAGCCACCCTACTGTCTTTTCATCACCTCAAGGCACAACAGATAGCAACTTCACCTGGGTAGCAGAACTAATGAATGATGAGACAAGTGCTGGGATGAAAACAAGTTGAGGGCCTTGTTTAATGCAGAAGATATTGAAAGAATCATGAGCATCAACACACT